GGGGGGGGGGGGTGATTGGGCGTCAAAACGGTGAAATATTACAACCTCTTAAGACAAAGGAGAAGGCCAAATTATATTTCTTTATCGGTTCACCGTTCATACTGCTTCATTTTACTACCCCCCCCCCCCCTATTTCATTCGTTTAAATGAAATTGATGAGATCAGCATTGACAAAACGAACATCTAACTTTTACCAATGTATAACATGACGCCGGGGCTCCGGGTCAGAGGGCAAACACAATTCTGGCTACAACAGCATGATTCGGTTATGTTTTTGTGTGTTTTTTTTTTAAGTGCCGTAGACAGCAGAACACTGATGTATCGATTATAGTATCGGGCAACTGTTACTGTAAATTAACATTTATGTATTTTATATGACAGAGTGAGGCGCCACCGTTCAAAGTCTTATGACTTGGTGACTTCCGGTGTGTTGACATTTCCTAATTTTAGCGCACCATCATCCTGTTCTAGCCATGTAGTGTGGTTTAAATTTCACCCTTTAAAAAAATAATAACAATGTATAGACTAAGCCTATTCCCCAAAAGATGAAGATTGAAAAAAACTAATAAAAAAACCTACTGCGAACAACTTTCCGGTATGTTACCAAGTTTTACAACCGGTACTTTTTTTAAGATCGGAGCAGCGTGAGGACAGATGGCGACGGTGATGAGGAAATCAAAGCTAGCTAGGATCGTCAAATGTTAGATGACTTTGCGTCTGGGGAATATCCAACTTGAAATTCACACATAGACCAAGACTCGTTTAAAGCAACGCATTAAGAGTTTCTTTATGGGTCAGAACGTTGGAAGACCACCAGCACATCAGAACGAAGGCTGGAAGTGAACCAGAGCAAATTTTTATCATAGCAAGTTGGCAACCCTGCCGACGACAGTTTCATAAACCACGCCAGCAACCCGCTGGAGATGCCTAGATCTGCCCTGCTAAATTCCACTTAACTTACCAGGACAGCATTCATTCAAATTGACTGTCCTTGGTAGTGGTCTCACTTTACAGTTAGGGCATTAGGACTGATAAAGTTAAACCCAGTTAGAGAAAACCCTTCCACAACTCAAATTTTAATCACATTTGTTTAACAATTAATAGTTAAAGTGTTTCCGGCTTTAAGTAAGTTTAAGGCATAACTGGAGTTTCCAGTGAATGACAGGACAAACCCATTTTCATTTCCTTTGGGTTAACACACAAACAATGAGAAATACTGGTACAAAAAAGATTGAAAAAACAGGTGTTCATCATGAGTGTTATTATTTCACACCGCTTGTGTTTCACATCATTACACTCTCACAACTCCATATAACTCGATCTTTTCCACATTGATAGTGACAGATGATTTAAAGTTTTATTCTAAAACTATACCATTCAACCATTGCATGAGAATAACAGGCTTATCACTAAATGCCAAGTCCATACAAGTCGTCAACTACCCGGGTAACTGAAATTCTCCAAACATGTCTAGGGTTTTACACCGTCCCTGCTATCCACAAATGTAACATGGCAGTCAGACATTTAATGAAATTTCAACATTAAATGATTTATCTCCATATTTTCTTACAGAGGTGGGCAACAGGACAATATGCTCCCCATGAGTCAAATCATGAGTTAATGTTGGCAAAATAGAGATCACTCTGTCAACTTCAGCATTACTTTTATACTCTAGCTTCTTATTTTACAGCTTCTCATTCAGATGGGCCAGTAACTCATTTGTTTTTTTTTTTTGTTTTTTTGCTTGAAGATTTTATACCCAATACAAGAGTAATCTTTCTGGAAATTTCAAGGCCTCACCCAAAAGATATGTTTTTAATAAGGGAACACTGCACCTATTACATCTAGTAGAAAAGGAAGATTTTTTTGCTTTAAAAATTACATAAATTTGATGATGAATGTTGATAATTTAGATGAAGGCAAGGTTGTGAAAAGGGCATGTTACCAAAATAAATAAATATATATTCAGAACTCGAGCACATAATAAAGTTACATAATAAAAGTAAATACCTACTTTTTAGAATCATCATTATACGTCACAGCAACAAAGATTTAATTATTGTTTTACAAAGTTACTGGGAGCAGTAAATTGATATGTGCATGGGGCGAAAATTACATGCAGTTCAATCCCTTATATGAAACTATCAAATTGGCCAAAATTGTCTCAAGTACAAGCAAGTAAATACCCCGCCATATTATCACTGGGTATGAGACTCTGTAAAACAGAGTAAAGTTTGTGCAAGGTATATAGCATAGTACCACAGCTGTTACATATGGTCAACCTAGCCAAAGATTCAGAAGGAATCAATAAAACCACAGATATGACTATGCATCAATTCAAAAATTTATAGCATACTTAATAGATAAGACCACAATTACGGTCCAAATAACAATAAGTCAAATATTGGAAGTCACATTTTCGACCCATCAAAACTTCTTCAAATGTTTATATGTACACTTTGATAATTTTATAGACTTTTATTTTAAAAACATTTCATAGAATCTGGTTAATGACAAAGCAAAAGTCGTCTCGAGTTGTTAATCATTAGTTTAGCTTCCCAAAGGAAAAAAAATGACATTCAAATTCAATAATAAATGGCTAAATCCCTAAATTTTACATGATATAATAACTTATAAATAACTATATCCTTAACATCACACAAGGGAATAAGCATGGGTAAAGGATTAGGAACAGAGAATTGTTTAGATTCTATAAAGCACACAAAGAGGATCTCGATGGCCTACAATGTTATGGAAATGTTTTCTTTTTAAGTCCAAATTGCCACACCCTATGTTTGAAATTCCTAGACATTTAAAAAAAATAATTGAACAATTGATTCATCCTGTCTTTAAGAAAAAGTATGATTTTGTGAAAGAAGTGGATTGTTTATCAAAATACAATATAAAATAACAGCAGAATAAATTAAGCAATATTTCTCAAAGTCTATATAAAAAAAAACTAAAAATTAAAAATGTAATTGATTTTTTTTTTTTTTTAAGAAAAATTTACTGAAGGAAAATTAATAGTATCCAGAAATTTGTTTAAAAGAAATTTTGCCAACGGGAAATTGATAGACAGAAGTTTGATCAAAAGGACGTTTGGGTGAATTGTTTATTTAGTGCACACGCTTTAATTTTGCGTCAAATTTCAATTTGAACACATTATTTTGTTTTACTATGCATTACAATATAGTGCGTTCACAAAGAAATTTGACGAAAATTTGATCGTGTGAACTGAAAAAAAATTCCACCAAACTTCCGTTTGATCAAATTTCTGTTTGACCTAACTTCTGTTGATCAATTTTCCGTAGACGAAATTTCTTTCAAACAAATTTCCGGTAACCAAAAAAAAACCCCACTATTTGTGAAAAACTCACTCGAAAAATAGTTTTTGAAATGAAAGAAAATAAATTTTAATAGCATAATCTAAATTGTATCTCAAAAGATTATGAAGTAAAGTTATCATTGAAATGTCATTCAACCAGTAGCTTACAAACATTTAATGGTATATTGGATACTGGTAAAGGTCATTCCCACAAAGGACTTTTAAAAAGAAATTACCCACTGTATTGGAAATTATGTAAATAAATTGAAATATTTGGTCTTTTATCTCAGATGAAAACATGTCTTTTTGATTAATTAATTATAAATTACTTTACTACTATGTTCTGTTAAAATATTATTTTTCTTTTTTTATTTAAAATTTTAAGATCATCCCATTCCTGAAACTTATTTTTAAAAATATTTTTAAAAAGTTTTTTTTTTTAAACACCCAAAAAATTGAAAATATATGTTTTTCAATTGCATCTTGGTTTAAGTTTTAAAAAAAAACAACAACATATTTGTTGCTTTAATGCAGGCACTATCAGGCACTTTTTGGCTGCTGGTACTTTAAAGGGATAATTTATTACTTATGCATCGAAATTTTGTATTTCCGACAATATAATAACTATAAATAAATGCAGGTTATTTAAAATAAGACGTGATCTTTAATGCTTGACTCAAATAACATATATTACTGGCATTCACAATACAATTTCTTATAAAATTTAAAACAAAAGCAATTTTACAAACATTGAACTATACTTCTTCCATGTCATCACCTGCTGTCACTTCAGATAGATCCACACTGTCATGCAAAACCACATATTCCCTGGTGCTGAAACCAAACTTGATTACATCTTTCTCCCTCAGCTCATAATAGCGCCGAGGCTCAATTTTTTCATTGTTCAGGTATGTACCATTAGAAGATTCCAAATCGATAATGTACGGCCTAACACGGCGGCCTGGTGTTCCGTCAGGACGTGTGTATGGCATGGCACGGAACTGGAGAACAGCCTGCTGTTTTGAACAAGATGGATGATCAACTGGAATGTCTGCTATTTTTCTGTCGCGCCCTAATAAATAGGCGCTCTGTCTGTGTATGTGGAGAACTGGCAGGGCTTCCTCCCCTTTGAAAGGGTAAAGGCGCCATCTCCTTTTAGGCTTCATTGCCTCAGGTGGTTCATTGTACTTAATAACAACACCACGGAAAGTGTTAGTGTCTTCTGTTAACTTTCCTGAAAGTTTAAAATTAGGCTTCTGTTTATCTTCTTTTTTCTCCTCCTCCCCCTCTTCAGATTTCACCTGCGCTGTGTTCAGGCCAAAATCACCATCATTGCGCTCTCTATCTCTCCTCTTGACACGCCTGTCAGCATCATTCCTTGACCTTTCCCGCTGCTGTTGCTGGAAATTTTCGTCGTCTTTCTCTTGTTTTATCCTCAGGTTTGGATCAAACTTTGCATCTCTTCCTCTTTGATGAGATTCTTTGCGCCTATGAGCTCGAGTGAGCTTTTTGTCCTCTTCATCATTGGAATGATGTCTGTGCTTCTGATGTTTATGACTATTTTTCCTGTGATCTTCTTCATCTGATGAACTTTCATTGTGATGTCTTTTCACATTTTTAGACTTTCTATGATCATCCTCATCTGGTGGGCTAAGACTTCTGTGCTTCTTGTGTTTCTAAGAGGAAACATAATGACAATATTGCATTAGTCTTTGATGACAGCTAATGATATGCAAACTTATTTTTATAGTGTTATATTACAAATAATTTTATATACCTTGTCTATTGCATTTGTATATTATTTTGAGAAAATCCAAAAATATAATCACTTTTCAATCTTAAATAACCACCCCCATCCACTCTACGCTTTAAATTGCTATTTTCTTCTGACAGTAAAACAAATAACAAGATTTAATTTACAGGCATTACAGCCTTTAAATTTAGGATAAGAAGAATACTTGTGTAAGATTAACATTGGTTGATGTGTGATGTTTAGGAAAAAACATTTTTTTAACCACCAATATGCTGATAAATCAATTTCTTACATCACATTTTCAACCGGGGTTACCGGCATTAGCCTTTTAAATGAACTAACACAAAACAAAAATTTTTAAAACATAAGCTTTATATATTCTTATATCTTAAACTCACTTCTGACCACCACAAGACTAGGCACATGATTTTATTTACTTCATAATAAAAACGGCATTTGCAATCTTTACTTTAACTTTAAATTTAACAATTTAAGGTATTATCATAATATTATGGTATTAATGTCACTGTCCCTTCAGCTAATCATCTTAATGAGCTTTACTTTAACTTAAATTCAGGCCTAATCTGACACCAGTTAATTTCAAAGGGCTGAATGAATGAGAGATTTATAATATTAATAATCAAAGTTATAAATATAGTACATCCTTCCATATATGTTCACAATGAGTGACAATGAATCAATCATAATCATCAAAAATGAATCAGCCAATTTTTTTATTTTTTTTACCAATTCAGTAAGTTAAGGCACGGCTGAGTACGGTATTCAGGCAGTTGGAAATGTACTAAATAATATTAGATTAAATGGGGATGGGGCACTGAGGAATACAAATGTGAGCTTATTAAGCCTAAAATTTAAATAAGTGTTCATACTTACACGATTCATATCAAGAATTTTAGGTTTACTTATAATTAGAGGCAATAAAAATCGTAGTTATGATGCTTGGTTGAAACGGAAGTAGGGATTTTCGGATATACTAATTCCGAAATATTATTTTTAGTCCTGCAGTAATATAGGAGATTTTTCAGTCTTTTCTTTTTGTTTTTTCTGACATAAAAAAAATATATATATATATATAATTAAATTCTTGTGCTGAATAATACATATTTTGTGTTAAATAGATGAATAATTATATAACTTTTGTCCACATTAACCTTAATATTTATAACATTAAGAAAAGGGCTAAATATTGCTTAATTATGGAAAACCCATCTAGAAATATTTTATAATGTTTCGAAAGAAAAGATCGTCACATGACTTATGTTTACATTCGAGATAGTGATTTAAGACGACTCGTTACAGTTGACAATACTAAAGGTGTAAATAATTAGAAGATGGATTCGTACAAAACTGTGGTACAAGGAGAAGCATCGGAATCTGAAGATGATGAAGAATTAGAAATCGATGTTAGTTTTAGATATATTTAAAGTTAAACACATTTAAAAGTAGTTTAAGTTTAAATATGGAAAACCCCTCTGACACAACTACTTCACTACTAACTCACACACACGCCTCCTGTGACAGTTTGACTCAAATCGTTCTGCCATTTCTCAGACTGGTCATCCAGTCCACTTTCAAATTATTCAATTTAAAATCAATCATTCATTAATAAATGATTCAAAATAATCTAAAAAGTAATTTCTTTCTGACCTTCTGATCTTTGCTTTCAATAGAGTATAGAGTGACTTGAGTCAATGCCCATTTTCTTTTCATTTTTTATATTTTTTATTATTTATGTATGATAATGATATAAATTTATGTAAATTTAATTTATAATTGTATATATATAAATGTTTGGCTAATTTGGAGAGATAAAATCATTTGCGTGTTCATTATAGTTGCAGTGCATAAGGGTTCAGACTAGTAGGTTGAGGGATAAATTTAGGGTTCAGGTTAGGTTTAGGGATACATTTAGTTTAGGTTTAGTGACACAATTAACTGGTCTTGTCACCCAAGATGGGGGCCATGTGGCCAAATTTTAATTTTTTTGTTGTACGGATTACTGATGAAGTCATTTGCCTAAACTGCCTTTGAATTTGTAAAGGCTAATATATTGTCAATTGAGACAATTGTCTATTCATAATGAAAGGCATAGGTTTACATTTTTTTTTTATTTACCCAAATGAATCTCATTAATATACTTAAAAGCTTTATTGCAGTCCAAAACACTCACACTAATTTAAAATTATTATTCAATTTATTTTTTATTACTAACGTCAGTAACGTAATACCATAATTTGTCATGACTAATAATGTAAAACATTTGTGATTCAATTTATCAATTATTAAATGCTTAATAAGGTAACAATTGTTCAATTTGAAATATGCTTCATAAATGATTAACCTATCAGAATCAGAGTCTATCTCTTTCCAGGATAAACCAAATGCTGTTGTTGTCGCAGGAGAAGCTTCTGAATCTGAGGAAGAAGAACTTGATACAAGTTTATCAACATCTAGGAAAGATATTCCTCCTTTGAAGTGCAAGTTTTAATTCATTTTGTTTACAATTAACATATCTCTTATTACAGTTTTATTATCAAATATTTTCACACAATCATGTCATTGAATTTATTATTGCACCATATTTCAGAATTGCTTTTTAAATAATTTTTAAATAAAAGTCTCAAATTTGAGCTTCCGTTCACAGGCCTTAACCATTAATCAGGCAGGACTAAAATGAAATAATAAAATTATCAAATACAACTTCAAAAAGACAAAAGAAAAGTAAGTGTGCGCACAAATGTCTGTATCAAATAATAAAAAAAATTCCCAAATTTGCTAGATAAAGAATACAGTACAACACACAAAAAATGGGTTACTGGAAATTTGTGTGCAAGAATTTTTGTTGAAGGAAAATTATAGACAGAAGTGTAGTGAAATAAAAATTTGGTAGAACTGACTTTTGGTCAAATGGAACTGGTCGACAAAGAAGTTTGGTTGGACAGAACTTTGGTCAATTTTTTATTGATTTTTGTTTTTAAGTTTTCACATTTCCAAAGTATCATCTCACTGCTCTCAACAACTAGTTTTATTTTTTTGCTTTTAAAAAGGTCATTTTTAATAAGGAGGCCATTTTGAGTTGCCCTAACCCTAAGGCCTACCCATTGGGTTGATACAACTAATTACCTTTAATAAATAGCTTTTGTTGTTAGAAATTCATTGTTGTTCCGCTTCACAAATTCAAATGAGATTATATGATATTCCATAAATAAAAATGTTTAAATGATAGCAAAACTTATCGAGAGTATGCATTTTCCAAAACTTTTTAGTTGTTGTTTTCCTATTTTTACTTAATTCCCCAATTATTAAATAATTAGGCTATTTACAATGTTTTGTATTTTTTAAAATCAAGCAAAATTCTATTCTATTCTCCCCATTTCTCACTCACAACTCTTAGACTTAACAACATTAAAAAAAATGTGTAACATTTGAACAAAATTTTGTTGGGTCAAACTTTTGTTCTAACAAATTTCCCTCGCAAGTCTAAGACTTAACAATAGCAAACAACCAAAAAAAAAATATTTCGTTTCAACCAAATTTCTGTTCCACCAAATTTCCATTCCACCAAATTTCAATTTTACCAAAATTATGTTCAAACAAAGTCCCGCCAATCAATTTTACATCTAACAAATTTATTACAAACAAATTTCTGGATACCGTACGAATAAAATTAGCAGTTTGAAGAAGTCTTGATTAGAGTAATTAGACCCATTTGAATTTCAAACTTTTGCACAGTATTGAAATGTGCATGTAAAATTTAAAGATGTGTATTGTATCTTATTTTGTTGATTTATGACCATTATTTTATTTCCCCATTTTTCTTAGTGTCAGAGCATTCAATTTCATTTGAGTCTATTGATGACATATCTAGTGTTCCAACTCTTACACTTAAACAAGCTGGACGACCAAAATATGATACGTATGTTAATATTTTAATGATTTATGTGTTTAGTTAATTATATTACACATTATTCCTTATAGTTCTTAAGACATTTTTAATATTTAATTTTTAAATCATAAAAAATAAACCAGTTACAGCAGGGGTCTCAAACTCAAATAATCCGGGGGCCGCAGGAGGTAGGGTCTGAGTGAGATTGGGCTCCATCAAGTATTTTTTAAAAAATGCTGTTTTAAATTCAATAAAGTAAAACTGTTACAATCTGCTCAACCTTTATTAATAACAAATAATAACATTAAGGGTTCTCAAGAACTAGGCTTCACTCTCCTTTTCCTACTCTGACCTGGCAGAGCTTCTTCTTACACAGCTGAGAAACATTTGGCTTTAGTGAGGAAGCAACTGAGATCCTCAGTATAGCTTGAAGATGCCCATCAGTAAGTTTACCCTAAACTTTGATTGTTTAAGTTTATAGTTGAAAAGAGCTTTTCACACAGATAGGTAGGCCTACTCCCAAATAGGTACATGATCCACTTGAACAACCTGAAAATCTCAGGGAAGGTTGAATGCAATGCTCTCATAACTTGTCCATGCTTGTCTGTTTTTTCCATTCACGTCCCTGAACCTAGTCTTGAGTTCGAAATTGCACTGAAGATCCATCAGCTCCACTTGAAGCGCAAAATAATATAAAAAGTGTTGGGGGGGGGGGGGCATCTTCTACATTGAAGGAGAAAGGGTCAGCAATTTTAAAAGTGACTCTGTGTTTTTTGAAGTCTGCAAACATGTGATCAAATTCTTCCTGTATCTTGGCAATTGCATCAGTAAACTTACTACTGAAGGGTGTGCCTGAGTCCATTAGTACTTTGCATGTTGAGAAATGGCAGAGGTTCCAGAGAACCATAACACAAGTTTTGTGCAGAATGCCCTGACATTGTCATAGGCAACACTGACAAGCTGCCCCTGGTCTTGTTGAGTACATTCAGCTCCTGTGTAATGTCAACAAGAGCCGTTTGGGATCACTTCGTACAGGAACAACCACCCCATCCTTCTCCATAAAGGCTTAAAATGCTAAAGCATGTTCAAACAGTAGGAGGGGGCAGGCAATTTTAATGAATTATTGATGCGAAGGAAAAAGCTATTGTAGGGATAATGAATTATGATTTTTTATCATAGAAAAAGCCTTTATGACTAACCCTATTTTGAAAGTGACCAAGCTGACGGGCTCGGAATTTTCTTCACTCGTAAACGCTAGCAGCAATTTGAATAGGGATTCTTTGATACTGTGTCAGATTGCTACGATTTACACAATTAAGGTTGTGCATTACCCACCTACTCACTTTTTAAAACTTTTCTCAAAACCGCACTTTGGCCATGATTATCTCATAAAATGCTATAAAATAAAAACGTTCAGTCCGATTTTAAAACAGTTCGTACCATGATAATTAACATACAAATATATGCAAACTTAAATAATAAAAAATAAGAATTAGACTAGTCGGTGAGATTCGAATGAAACCGTCTTGAAGGGTCGCATTATAGATATGAGAATGGGGAAAACGCGCGGGCCAAATTAACACTAAACTTTGCTGTCATGTAGCGGGCAGCAAAATATCGTCTTGCGGGCTGCATATGGCCCGTGGGCCGTGAGTTTGAGACCCCTGAGTTACAGCATATAATAATAATTGAAGTTTTTTGTAAGATTCATTTTAAGTACTGTAATTTTAAATACAGATAGCAAATCAAAGTTTTTAAAAATATCTTATAACTATGTCATTTATCTATGTCTTATGTATAAAACCTTTTTCCAAAAAAAAATGTGTAGCTAAAATAAGATGATTTGCAAGGAACTTAGTAAGAAAATTTAAAACTTTTTCAATACCGGTATGGTACAACTTATTAAAATTTTGCATTCAGAGGCTGTATACTGTAAGTTCCAAATAAATAATATAGTCTATATGTTTATTTGAATCATAAACGCTTATAATATTTTAAGATCACTAATTACTCATACAAATTGACAGATGTAGTATGGGTACATTGCTACTTTAATTAAAACTTAAGTTGTATTTCATTGATACTTACAGGGTTCTGAACAAGAAACTATGTAAGTTTAAACTGTTATAAACCATACTATTTTTTTGTTAACTTTTTCTATTTTGCAATTTATTACTGGTATGCCAAAAAAAAAAAAGATACACCCTCATTCCATAAAAATTATTACAACAATTTTAAGTAAATTATTGATTTTAAGTGAAAATTAAAATGTTTGATTGATGAAATATTGATTGTTTTATTTTTATGCTTGGAGGCATATTTCATCTGAACTGGTCCATTTTAGGTTAAACTTTGCTTGTAACTTTTCTTATAGGGGAGAGTAATCTGTCTTTGTGCAATAATCTAAATGGTCTAGTGAGCCAGGCTTATCTCTCAGCAGCCAAAGATTTAAGCAACTGTGGTCAACAATTATCCAAATCACATGCAGCAATACAGGTTCGAAAACAGATATTTAAATAAAAAATGTATCTCAATTTATATTCAAAATAACATTTCTGTTGTTTTTTTAGTGCTGTTCATCAGCGTCAATTTTTACATCCTAGCCATATGTTAGAAAAATTTTCTAAACATTTCCATGTTATAAAATTATGTTTTTCTCTGGCAAAACTTTAAAAAAAAAATCTAATTCTTGTTGTAAGAAACTGGTATTCTTGCAGTTTTTCTTTGTTTTAAAATATAATTTTGTTACAATCAATAACTTTCATTTTAAATTATAATAACAATTCTTTGCTTCTTCAATGCAGTTGAGTTTTTAGATAAATAAAAGAAATATATAAATAATAATAGAATGAAGATCATTAATGTTTGCATGTTTAGTTTGTCTGTAAGTTACAATTTTTACTTATTAACTTTAAGTTTTATGGTAATGAATTCTCATCTTTTTTTTTCAGGATGTCTCCCATAACATGCGACTGATGACCAATGATTTGTTCAAACTTCAAGACACCATTGATATCATAGCCACTTGTAAAATATTGCCCAGTATAAAGTGCCCTGAAAGACAAGCCCTTGTCCAGCCTAATCAGGGGTCACCCGATTTTCCAAAACCAGTAATCAATTTAGCAGTGACGTCCAATGATGATGACATACAGGCATCACAATAGTTTTGAGTCAAAGCACTTCAATGAGTTTGGTGCTGAAATTCATTTTCAGGTTTATAATTAGTACAGGTGTGGTTTGAGACTGAAGATTCCTATGTCACAAACATTCTGGTTGTATTCATTCATTCATCTTGCTTTATCATTACACCTGCTGCAATGATGAACATTCCTTTATTGTATGTATTCACTACAATCTTTTTGTTGACTTGATTAAAAGGTAGAAAATAAATTGCTTTTGTTTGTTATTTTTATGCCAAAACAATATCTCATATACTCAGCTGAAATCATATCAAGAGATAATAATTCATATGAAATTATTATGCAATTGATTTGTGGTGGGAATGAAAAATGATTTCTTATGCACTCTTTAGTAGGAAAAATTTACCGATGTATTTGAAAAAAATCCAACTCATTATTTTATTCATTTCTAGCTCATCTTTCAATTCAGTCACAGAACAAAAATTAAAATATTAAAACACTTGCAAAGAACAACCAACTCGAGTCAGAATATGAATACATTCTATATTAAGAAAATGAGGCAGTATGTAGCTTATTTTGTAGATGGCTGTTTTGCATCTTTTAAATTCTTGTCTTCAGGTTTGTGAACCTGGCTCACTTCTGACTTGACTGGCTCCACTTTCTGAAGCTGTTCAAGAAAGTCCTTGCTCAATCCAAACTTTTCAAGGTCTTCTTTAATCCCTGCCATAATTGCAGCTTTTCTTTCAAAGAAGATTTTCTTTTCTACATCATACTTTGCCTGAAATAAAAATTGACAGTGAACAGTAAAAATTAATCAAAATTGGTAAAATACGTCATTTCCTTGTTTCAAACTAAACTAATTACAAATTTAATTATAAGAATGAATAGAAAATATGATTGAAATAGAACCCAGTAAAATTCAACCATTGATTAATGCTGCGAATTATGCCCCCCGCACCCCTCAATCTTTTTCCCCCCAAAAGTGTCATCTTTGTATGCCAAATATCAAATAAGAGTTTATGTTCACCTTCAGGGCCTCTAACTTTTGTCGCTGTTTTGCCATTGCTTCTTGTTGTTTTGCAACCCTCAAGTTGTGTTTCCATCCTTTGTATTCTTCCCTGTCTTTTGGTATGACATACTGAATCTTCAGTTCACGAAGCAGCCACTCAAAGCGCTCATGATCTATCTCTCTTAATTTTGTAAGCAGTCTTCTTCGTCTAAAGATACGTTTCAGTAGCCATATTTTGTTTCCTTTATCCTGGAAGAGAGAATGCTTGTTAGATTTGATGGCCGCAAGTAAGCAACATTTAAAATACAAAATAGTTGCCTTATTTAATGTTAAACACTAGTAATTAATGAAAATGTTAAATAATGTAAGGTTATCGTTTTGAGTTTTCAAGTTTAAAACCAAAGTGAACTTTTTAATTCGTAATTTACAGTCTTTAGACAATTCAATTTATCAAAAGCCGACACTCAAAACTAACAACAACTAAGTTGATATTTGTATTTTCTGGGCTGTTATACCATACATGCCAAATGTGGGTACAAAAACTGTACAAAAAGTTAACAAAAAAAAAACACTACAGCATTAAAAACTGTACCAAATGAAAATGAAATGCCAAAAAAAAAACAACCATAATTTATAACCTTTTCATTCAATTATCAATGTTTAGAATGCATGCAAACTTTGCCTTCTTGGTAATTTCTGGATTAGTTTGAAAACCTAACAAGTTAATTTTAAATTTTTGCACAGTAAAAAAGATGTGATGGCAATGAAATCTGATTGATGACACATCGATAATTCCTGGGTATTCAGTTAGCCACTCTCTTTAACTTTAAGTAAGAAACTTCCCGCGATGTGTGCATAATGTCTCTTCCTTTTTAAAAAAAAAATCAGGTCCAACCATTTAATTTGGCGTTTTCCAGCTGTAGTAAAATAATAAATTTAAAAGAAGGATACAATATAAAATCCTAACTGATGTCAGCTGTTCTAAATAAAACACAGGCCTACTTATACAAGGAAGAGCATGGCACCAGCTTTAGTAGTAGAAAGTGCTAACACATGTTAAATTAAGTCATGCTGTGGTAGGCCTAATAATATGAATGACGTATTCATGGATAGCAATATTAAATATATTTAACAGAAATTAAAATAATATTTACACTGAAGTTCTTGCTAAGAATTAATGAAACAGATTTGTAAATCGAAATGGCTATTTGGACCCGGGTCCGAGAAGTTAGAGGTTGGGATTAAAATTGTAAAAAAATATATTATTGTTTGGTTGTAAGAGAAAATTTGGTATCAAATGAAAGATAATTGAATGGACTATATGTTTGTAAACTTAATTCTTCAATTTAACTAAAATAAACTACCAAATATGATATCCGAATAGCATTGAGTCTAAAGGGACCCGGGTGCGAATAGCAGTGTGGCGTTTTCAGATCTATTTTGACTAAATGCTATTCGGATGTCATTTGGTGAAACAAACCCATCTATTTTCAATTTGGGTCAAAATTTAAAAAAAAACAGCAATGATTGATGGGCTTGACTTACAGTTCTGTACTGTATGCAGTAAGGTATCATCTGTCGAATGCCTAAAGTTAATAGTGCAACTGAGGAATACCAAAAGGAAAAATATAATGTAATTTAAATTTAGTTAGCACAAATATTTTATTTTATGTCTTTTTCTTTTTAAATGTTTAAGCACAAAGTAAAATTTATTCTATGGATCAACATTATTGTTTACATTAGTTCAATATATTATACAAGCATTATGATTATCAATATAAGTGACATCAAGTGAGGAGCCTACATAGTACACATAAAATGATCAAAAACTTTTTGTACATATTATTATCATTATGTAATGTTTGTCTACCTAGCAATGTGAAGATTCACATAAGCCTGTCAAATTTTGACTAATTCAGCGACCTGGTTGATAAAAAATCTAAATATTTTTTAAAATATGAAAAATTTTTAATTATAAAATAAATGTCTTTTCATTAACCAACAACTCACAAACAGTTTAGTATAATTCTGAAGCAAATGGCAGCATCTTATCCAGTTCTACAACAGATAATCTATTTATTTTATTTATGAGCATTTTAGAAAATACTGATGAATGATAGCATTTAAAAGGTCAGAAAACAGTCAATTAAATTGCCTGAATAAATTGGTCTTTAGGTAAGATACTTACTCTGTTGCTCAATTTCAGAGTTTGGCCCAAATAGCTCAACAATTCTGTCAATAATTAACTGTCTTCTGTGATTGGCCAATTCAGCCTGCAGTTAAAAACAAAACACCTTTTAGAAAAAGTATCTAGAGTTGTCCTTTTCTTGTGACATTACATTTCAGATTCTTTCACTAATACAGAATATACTAATGATGTGATATGAATCTCTCTTAACCCAATGTTGAAACATGCAACTGATTAAGGCTGACCTAGTTTACACATCTGATCTGTGAATGAAATGTCACAATTCTATGAGTGTATCCTATAAGGGTATCTCAAGGCATTATTTGTTTTTCTTTACATTTTTATGACTGATCCATCAATCAGTAAATAAACTTATTTAAAGTTTATTTTAAACTATAACCCTTCTAGCAAATAAATGCTATCAATTTAAGGATCAAGCTTTCATCCTTCTGATGGAATTTTTTTAAAACCCACCTCATTGTCAGGCTTCTTTTCACTTTGTAGTGACAGACTTAAAGATTTGTGCATAGCCCCAAACATTTCCTTTATTCCAGCATTTAAATTTTTAAAACAATGAATGCCTTAAGATCATCTGAGAGGACATTTAGTGAGACAATTTTGTTATGTTTCAAAGGAAAGAACTTACAGCTGATGCAAATTCCAGACTTGATAACTTCTTGAGAGTTTCATTGCTTAATGATGAAATAGAATAAAGAAACAGGCTTGATTAAAATGGCTTTATCTTCATATTACCTCGTTCTAATGACATTTGTCGCTCTAAGAAAATTAGCTAAGTGAAGTTTTTTAAGAGGAGGCAATAATGTTATTAAAATTACTTTAAAAAAGCTTTAATCTGTCTAAAAATAAAATATGTGCAACTTGCTTGTTAATTTCATTTTCAAGTCCCTGATAGCTGTATAGAATGGTGCTTCGGTCAAGTTCAGGAAGCTTGCGCAAGTCACCTGAAAAAGAAAATACACCAACAGCGACATTTAATTTCCACAGGAGAAAATTCAGTTATCTAAACACAAGGGATAGTTTATGCATAAAAATTGTAATAACAGACCCTAACACATAATTTTAAAATGCATCATATAACAACAGGTATTCATGAGTTCTACAAATTTTTTTTTTGAAAATATAGCTAATTTATATATTTGCGCTTGAAGTGCTTAAACTCAGTATCAAACATGTAATTAGAGCATCTAATTGACAGAATAAAGTTTAGAAAATTTAAGATTAACAAAACAAATATTTAAATGCATACCCGAATATTGAAAATATGTAATTTTGGGGGGCTTTTGAATCATTTTGCGTCCATAGTTTCTTGAAAAAATAATGGAGCATAAAGATGCTGAAAAACAAATATTCTTAGATTTAGATTTGAGATGAGAATGATTTCAACATGTGCAAAAATCTTACAAGTAAAGGTGTTTACAAACAATTTTCATTCATGATAAAACTTTAGCCAATAATCGATTAAAGCAAAATTTAACAGTTTCACAGAAATTTGCCACAACTTATTAACTCTTTTAGGAATATAGAGGAATAAGAAAATCTTTTCGAAACTTTAAAAAAGTGGGCCTTATGTCAACAACAAAAATTTCTATATTTCTAAATTTAGACAAAAATATTTATTACATACAAAAAAAAACACACATAGAAAGACAAAAAAATAACATCTTAGCTTATTTTGTTCCAATTTTTTTTTTTAAATATTGTGGCAAAAAGAAGATAATTTTAAACTAATTTTGACAGTTATGCAAAAAATGTTTACAACTAATTTGATTTGCCATAGCATAATGAAACTTTGCAAACACATAAATATAACACTGATAAAATAAATTGTAAGAAGCATATGGAATCACAGTTATTGGAAGTGCTAGACATGGCATTTATGTGGGGGGAATTGATTGGCAAATTTTTTAAGGTAGCGTATGTATAAAGTAATATCTTTTACTGTTGGATATATATATATTAAAAAAAGCCTTTAAATTTATGTAGAACTATAATACTTTTCCTCCTGATACTTTTAGTGTTCCTTAAAAATCTGGAAAACGCAAAGTTGAGAAAATTGAAAAGGAAGCAAAAAAATGTTAATTAAAAAAAATTACAGGCTTCTTGATAAATAAAGGATGTGCACACCACATGTAAATATATAATTCATTAATGAAAAAGTAATTTAAAATCATAGCAACAACAAAAAATGAATGCATGTCCACCCCCCCCCCCCCCCCCCAACTTTTCTTTTAGAAATTTGTTTAAAAAGTATCAATCACTATCTATGCTTGAAATTTACCTGTTGATGAATGAAATAGTTAGATGTGCCATATAAGAATGTAAAGCCATTACTAAAATGCCGTACAAATAAATATTTGATAATTCTAATTACACGTTCAAGACCCATAGACGCCAACTATTTTTAACACATTATTTGTAAAAAAATGTACAGAAGGCTGAGCATACATTCTGTATTCATCCTCTCATAGATATTTTAATGTATATAGTGGCAATAATTGAATATTGCCTAAGCTAAGTATCAGCATCTTCCGCAGTTAAAAGGGGGCATGTTCACTAATCCAAAATGGCCTGTGCCACCTTTGCATAGTGAGGTCTACAATTTAAGAGAATTGTAAAAATGTTTTAATGAGCCAGTGCAATGAAATTTTGCACAAATATACCTCAATATATTTTGCTGGCATACAATAAAATGAAAGACATATTTTAAATATTTTGATAACATTTTTTTCTTGAAGATGCCTCACACTGACGTACCAGGCATCATACCATTTTCCTCAATTTAAGTTAATTTAAAGAAATAAAAACTCAATGTATGGAAATGTAGTTCAACATGACATGTCTCCTAATAGTAATAGTACTAAGTACTAAGTGTAATGTGAAAGGACAGAGTCATACCTTAATTATGGGCCAAAAGGACTCCTATATTATTAAAATTACACTCACATAAAAAAATAAAAACTAGAATTCTATTGCGCCGACGCCCATTTCCAATAAAAATTATGTGGTAGTCTCCCTTGTGTTACCAAAGTAAGTATATTAGTACATAATTTAAAACTACCAAGTAAATAGACTTGACTTAGACAAATCTATCTATACTATGAATCAGTATTAAAAATTATGATAATTAATGGGCATGGGTAAAATTTAAAAAAAAAATGCTTGGCATATGCTTATTATTCATTTCACAACATTTCGAATAAAATCACCTGTCGTCAAAAGGGGTTTGTGAACAGCAGAACATGCAACTGCAGTCCTATTATTAGAACTATTTCCAGATTTTAAAGCTGAAGCTTCGGTGCCACGCCTAATGCGATCACTGGAGCTAAAATTAGCAAGATTCTGTATCCATAATCTGCTGTTAAGAGGCAATGACAATGGATATTTTTTGTTAAAAGTAATACATCCTTTAAATAGGTTTGGTACAAGTTCTACCGACAAGGGCGCAGCCATTTTATCGGTAGAAAATAATCACATGGAATTTATTTTCAAGCATTAAAGATTTCTCATAGTTTGGTCGTTAAGGAGATTATGAGGACTATTGCTACGAATCCGTTATTTAAATCACCACATATACTATAATATTAATAAGAGTTTCAATGTAAAAATAGCTTGTTTTACTTAAGTTAGTATTAGAAATAACTTCTTAGATATAATTATTTTCGTATTATAATAATTTGCTATCAATTCAAAATTTTTGAGCTAGTAAAATAAGATGAGACTTGAGTACTGGCTTCAGCCAAATTAATTTAAGATTTTTTAAAACCTTTTTTTCAACTTCTCTGTGCTCTATATGAATGCTAAAAACATCAGTTAAAATCTATTATATTTTTTCCAATGAATGCTGTCCCTTAAACCCTACTAGCAAGCTACTATAATAGTTTTTTTTATTTTTTTTTTAAGTACCACGTTTGTAACTGTGTTGTATTGGACTTCCTATTCTTGTTTTACTAATTAAAATAGGTTTACTTTTTGCTCAGATATGCACACATTATTGTTCTAATTTATTATTTTGACAGCTCAAAGCTTGATTCTTCTTAGTTATACTTTGTATTTTATTTTTTTATTTTTTTTACTTTATCTTTAGAGTTGTCAATTACATGTATTTACGAATTTACTAAATTACCAAAAATACTGAACTCCTTTTCATCTCTCCCCTTCCTGGATCTCATGCCAAGTGTGGCGTCCAAGTTTTATAGACTTGTTCAGTGTATATTTTATTTTTACTCGGAAAGTCTGCTGATAAACCAGACTGTCCGGTTCAAAACTTGACCCTAGGAAGCTTATTTATCCGAGTTCAACAAGCGTCCTGTTTTGTAAATAAAATTATGGCTTACGTACTGATAGCTTCTAAGCAACCCTAGGACAACATACGGGATCTTTAGAGTCGCATGGCAACCGATGCTTTTGCGGAGCTCCATCTTTAGCTGTGACAGGAGTCTCTAGGACAATATTATCAGGTCTAGAGCCCCCAAGACGCTTCAAGATGATGAAAACAAGGCAACAAGAGTCATGTTTGAAGAAGGTAAAACTACCAGGGAAAGTAGTCAGCTTAAGGGAAAGAGTTCCTTTCACTCATGAAGTAAACATTTTTGAAAAAAATAATTTGATGGTAAGTTAGGAACTATTCTTGTATGCGCCAAGTTCACCAAACGGCAAAATACACAGTTGAGTTCATTTACGTGATTATGATTGAACATCATTTGAAAAGATTGAATAGTTTTGGTATTGTTTGTTTATGTTCGAAATAAAATTGCCCATACAGGCAAATTCTGACCCTTAAAACATTATTCATTCTATTCTATGTTTTAAAATTCAAGTTGCTTTGATTCTGAACTGAGTGAGTTGGGTTTCCTTATTAACTTTAGTTTTTAAAATCTTTTATAATGTTATATTCAATTAAATTATTTACCTTGTAAATTGTTTGTATTATAACAACAATTACCATTGCCTATTTATTTAATTGTTTTGAATAAAAAATATGTTTGTAAGCATTGTGGCTTGTGGCCATTTTGGCGAAGTTAAAAGTAGAATATATTTAATGAAATCAGTAAATCCCTTTACTAGTACACCTATGATTCTATGGTGTAATTTGATAATTGATAGCAAATGATTTTAATTCTATAAGGTAATATTTAAAAAAATTTAATATGTTTATGCTAATCAAAGTAAATCTCTACTTCAAATATGAATTTTCATATTCCATTGAACATACTCATACTACATAGTGTAAAATATTAATTTGTATAAATAGTATAGGCCTTTTTCTGTGAACTTTATTGTTATGTTTATATTTAAAAAATATTTATTTTACTTTTTTAAAATTAATCCCAAAGACCAAAGGCACACACTTAATCAAAATCAATTTAATTAAATTAAAATCGTGATTATACTTTAATTTGACATACCGGTAAGAGAATAGCGGATACATTTATAGCAAAAAAACTGTATTTACCCAGACAGATGCAGTTTACAATATGAATGATAGAAAGATTTAAATATTTTTAAAACTAAAAATAAGTTAATGCTCAATTAAAAGATAGCTAAATAGAGTTGATTTTAGGTAAACATACTATAATTTTATTTGTTTAAATTATATCCTGAGTTTTGCTTATAGGGAATGTATTGTTGGAAACTATTGGTGATTTAGTTTTTAAATATATACACATTTTACAGAAACCGGAACCACCTTGTGCTGGAGCTTTCAAAGAAAGAAATACAGGTGGTACATCTTTCAAAAAATTCTATGAGCGGGGTGACTTTCCAATTGCTTTGGAACATGACACAAAAGGAAACAAGATTGCATGGAAGGTGGGTTTATTTTTTGGTTATCTAAATTAATATCGATAAATTTATTATTTCAACATCTAGTAAAGCTAAACAAAGATATATCTTTATGTTAATACTGTTTTTTTTTTTCAACAAATTTTTATCTAACAACTCCATTTGGGGCTTTGACTTTTAAAAAGTTTTTGTGTACCAAATTTTACTGGCAGACTATTTAACTATGTAAAATTATGTTTTAATGGTACGAAACCATGATTCACATCTGACACAGTACTCATTATTACTAAATAGTAATTAATCTTGCTTAGGCCTATTAGTTCATTTTAATTTTAGAAATGTGCTGCATATTTTATATTTTAAGGTTGAAATAGAAAAGCTTGATTACCACCACTACCTCCCTTTATTTTTTGATGGTCTATGTGAGACAACTCATCCTTATGAGTTTTTTGCTCGGCAAGGAGTACATGATATGTTAGAACATGGAGGCTCCAAGATATTGCCAGTAATTCCACAGCTTATAATTCCCATCAAAAGTGAGTGAGAGAAAAAACCATTTGACAATTTCTTGCATGAATTAATTGATTTCAAATACAAAGCGCAAGATCAAAGTACTGAAAAAAGGCTGATATTAATGGAAAGTTTAGTAATCATAATGAATGATAAAAATAATATATTCTCAATGTAATTTTACAATGGTTATGAGAAGCATTTTAATAAAAATGAAATAACGACAAATGATCCTAGCTTGTGTAATATTGTATCATGCCCTTAACACCTGCGAACTTGTATTTTCCTGTCTAATTTTGTTGTTTTTCTATATGGATTAATATGTTTCATTCAAGTATGTTTTTATTATTTAAACTTAGAATTATTTCCCAATCAATCATTCTTACGCTAGTTTAAAATTGACCAAAACTTCACCTTGAGCTAATTCTTCACCCATTTCCCGCTCATATCCTGATCAGAGGTTAATATCCCTTTTAACCAACCAGTGCTGTGAATGGTTGAGTATTGCGGGCTAATCTTGAATTTAAACTTGAAATTATGAAAAATCTTATTTTATTTTCATATGTCAAAAACAATAAGAATGACTATGATTTATTTAAGTCTCCATCTTACAACTTCAAAATTGCTGGATTTTATTGGCCTGATCCAGTTAAGTCTAATTAGGATCTTAATATTATTTTAGATGCATTGAATACAAGAAACCACAAAGTGCTTTGCACCACATTAAAAGTACTTCAACATTTGGTAGTTTCTGCGGACATGGTTGGCGAGGCACTTGTTCCATATTACAGACAAATTCTTCCTGTGATGAACATCTTTAAAAATAAGAACTGTAAGCATACCACCAGTGTTAAATTCTAAAAATATTTTCTAAAAAAATAAAATTCTTACAAATTAAAAAATTTTTAGGCATAGATCTACCTTTTTTTGCCAACATGACTAATACTGAGAAGTTAAAATTTAAAACAATGAATTTTTTTTCAATAAAATAATTTAAATAAAAATGGACTGGTAATTTTTTAAAACTATTTTTGCTAATAATAAATAAGCCTTTTGAGATAGTGAGTTACACAATGCAAGACTTTTGAATAGTTCTTATCATTTAAAAAATCTTCAAGCAAACCCTAATTTTTTTGAGAAGCTAGTATGGTTTTGTTTACTTTTACTGGAATGCACTGATTAATATAAATTAAACTGTAGAAAAATAACAATAATAAATTCTACTTTTGATAGTATATCGGAATATGTAATTTTGCTAGAATTCAGTGAAAGATATTTATAACATGAAAATATCATGGTTTATGCAATCTAAAAGATAAACTGACTTTTTTTACTTTCCATAGTGAACTCAGGAGATGGTATTGACTACAGCCAGCAGAAGAGAGAAAATGTAGGTGATCTGATTCATGAGACCCTAGAAGCATTTGAGAGATGTGGGGGTGAAGATGCTTTCATCAATATCAAATACATGGTACCAACATATGAATCATGCATGCTAAATTAAAGCAAAACCAGAGACAACTAAAATATGAAGAACATTTTGATGCACGCTCAGCTTTTTATGAAGCATGACCCTAAAAAAGTATTATGCTGTTTAATTTAACTTCTTCCAAAAAATATTGCATTATTATGCATTGTGGGGAAAATAAATTAAATTAAACTGCATGTCATTTGAGATAACACTTTAAATTTGTAAAAAAAAAAATAGAGAGAGATAAAGATTAACATCAGAAAGACTGGGAGAGCCAGTCTCTTTTGTTTTAAATATTTTTCTTTGCTTGTTCTACTTTGGTATTATTAAATTATTTCCTTTGGGGTTGGGACTTTTTTTAGCCATAATCTAAAATAGAAAACAGCTCCCTCAAAAAGACCCGGGGCGTGCTTAAAATTTTGGTCACTCAAGGTTATCACTTTTTTGTCAAAATAAATGTTATATTTTCTAATTCTTAATCAAAGACCCCTTGATTTGTATAATATTTATAAAGTCACTGCTGAAATGCAATTTTTTTTTTCCACCACTGCTGAACTAAAAATCTATTTTTTAAGATTTCACTGTTGAAAATTCAACCTATAATTTTACTGCTGAACAATGAATGCAACGATGTTAACTCTAACTTGTATGTTTTCATATATGAGTGTTATGTTGATCTTTAAAGAATGAACTATGAATGTCATTTTGCTATGCTCCACTTTGAAAAAAAAAGATTTCTTGGTGTAATAAAATAATAAAAATAACAAGCGTATTCACAAGTGTTGAGGATACACAATTATTTCATCCCAACTTTTTTGTTTTTGCTTTAGATATTTGCTAAAATTTAGTAAATGTTTACAAATAATTTTTAAAATTTCTATGGTTACAACTCTAACTTAAAATTTATTCATTATTTTCAAATAGATTATGTGATCAAATGTCATCTTTACCATGTGTAATTTGTAACTATACAAAAAGAAATGCTTTTTTTTTTAATGAATGACTGTTCAAACTATATTTATTATTATGGGGGAAAAGTAAATGACTTTATTAGGAACAAGCCTTTTTATTTTATGTTTGAGAAAATTAGCCTAAAAATGACTATGTGTGTACAGTTGTGTAAATCTACCTATGCTCAGCATCTTTTGAAAAATATAATTGTTAGCTTCATTTCTTCACATGCAAGAATTTAGCTAAAATGTGTGAGAAAGAATGACAAGTTGTTTATTTAATGTTATCCTGTTAAGCAATATTAAACTTTAACATTGAGAAAGCAAAAACTTTTTTTTTAAATAACCAAATAAATTCTGCACTGCATGCATTGTCATGTATGACAAATAGCTGTAGCAGTCAAACCAAATGGAGATTTGGCTTGCCATAAATTTTGCATATTGAAAGACTGACCATAAAAACAATGATAAAGAGAATTATGGCTCGGTTATTAGTAATCACAATGATTGATTTTTTTTTTTAAAAAACCTAATTTTTGTCAATGCACCTTTTCATAACTATGTCACCAGATGAAATAAAGAAATAGATTAAATTTTAAAATGTGTTTTAGTGGCAGTTTTTGCCATAATTGTTAACTAAAGTTATTTCTTCTGATGATATATAATGGTGAATTACTTCAATTCACAATTGACAATTTTTAAAAATTGAAAACTGTGTGTGTCCATGTGAAAACTGATGGGTCGGACAGCACATAAACACAAGTAGAAAAAGATAGCTGTAGGTAAGACACTTTACCATGAATTGAATTTTTAAAAAAACGAAAATGCTTTAATTAAAAAACCATTGTCTAAAGTCAGAAAAAGTATTTACTGCTAATTCTCACCAAGTGCATTAACATCTAATATTACTTATTTGTAAAATAAAACTAATAAAAAAGCTCAATTTCTGAGGAAGACAACTCATTCTGGTGATGTTTTTCTTGTTCTAAAAATAATTTTGAATTTAAAATCTGTTTAAGACTTTTAATAAACTCAATGAAATGTACTTTAACTTTGAAAACATGAAAGTTTTTTTGTGTGATTGTTTCACAGATGTTTGAGAACATTTTTTAAAGATAACAGAAAACAAAAACATCAGATTTTTTTTTTATTTACAGATCATGTATCCTAGAAATTCTTTGTTCCATACACATATTACACATACCAAGTAAGCATCTTTATGTGAATCAAAGAGTTTTGATATTTTTTTGTGTGTGCATATGTTACATTTGATTTTAATCTTATTTTAAAAATAAAATCAAATGTGTACCACTCATTTCAAGCTGTTGGCACAAAGATAAATCATACAGCAGAGCTTCAGACCAAAAAGCAATAATTATTATAAACTAAATTAACTATTGAGACTATTAAAACATGTTCAGAGGTACTAAAAGACTGAAGAGCAAGGAAATTACAATACTATTTTTTTTTAAAACAATCCTCTTAGACAGTTCAGATCTGGGTTGGCAAAAAAAAAAATATCGACAAATACTGAAGTTCAAACTGAGATTTTACTCTGATGGCACCATCAATGAATGATGAATGAATTATTCACCCAATATATGGTGATAAGGACTCGCACCTTTCATTCAGATTCAATCAAACACACTAGCATTAATTTTTAAATGAAAGATAAAAATTATATTTCAAAATATTGGGATGTACAAATTTCCCAATGCAAGAAAAATAATTGCATATTGCAGGTTGTACAACACTCAAGGTAAAAATTTTGTTATGAAAATGAACAACTTTTACATTATTTTAAAAAAAAATAAACTAAACTTTTATAATATATTAAAACACAATAGGCCATGGATGACTCAAGTGTTATCCAGAGATGAGTCAGAGCCAGATTTAAAAATGTATTTAAAATTTTCAAGCCTCACATCTAGCAAAAATTTTGTTGAATAAAAATATTCTTACTTCTTATACTTAAATAGCTGAAGGAATGATTCCGAAAGACCTTGTTTTTTTAATTCTAAATTTTTTAAAACTTTTGACTTGATTGTGTGTCAATATTTCAAGTAACATTACCCCATAATTTTTTTTAAAACAAAGCTAAAAATTTATACACATAATCTACTGCCCATTAGAGGCCCTAGATCAAGGCAAATATATTTTCAGCTGCCTATTTTGATAAGAGAAACCAATTTCTAAAAAGGTGACAAAAATAACTCTTCTACAGGGAAGGAATCAATTTTAATAATTTCAAGCACTATTTTCTTTCCTTCCATTCATTCTGAGATGGATGTTATTCAGAATTGAAAACCCATTTTTAGAGTCTTTAAATAATCACATTAAAAAAACATGATATTTTAAAAGCAGGCCACAAGGAAGATTATAACAACTTGAATTATACAATCGGAAAACTTGCGGCTGTTGCAATACCACATTGGTTTTTCTTGTTACGGGCCATCAGGATGTACCCATTGTCTCCCCAGGTTTTGCCCCAGCTGAAACAAATAAGGGTAATTAATTATTGTTCATTGAATCGTGAAACTGGAGCACAGCTCAGAAGTAATAAGGTTCAGCTGAGAGAGGCGCAAGTTGAGAGGCACACGCAACAACAAAGATTTTCATGTAAAATTAAAAGCTTTTTATCATAGTTTCATGCATAAAAAAGTGTAAATGGGGCAAAATGAATACATATTTGATTAAAGGTTACAGATTTAGTGTTTCAGATGCTGATAAGCAACTCTTGCCACTTAATCTGATTATAAACATGGTAAGAGTCTTTTGTACATGGTAGTCTTTTCACTACTGCAATCTGCAGTATTCCTCCAAGAAAAACTTATTTAAAAAGTAACCAAAAAATTGGTCTAAATTTGATCCTACCTATTCTTAACAATCCAATAGTCTTGTCCTCCTTGAGTACCATACCCAACAGCCAACACTCCATGGTCCAGCTGGGTTTGACTGCACTCAGGGTTGTCAAAAACACCTAAAAGATGAGAGAGACAACTAGATGAACAACATGTGTATGCTTTGATCACAGAGACTGAGAGAGCTACATTGTGACCTGGTAGGACTCAAGTTTCTAAATTCAAATAATTTGTTACTTGTTTTGTATCAACTGCTTAAGAAGGCAATAAGCTGGAATGTCCTTTTAATTGTCCTGTCTCGTTTTTAAGCATAAACATATCTTGTTCGGCCATTTACTTCCCACGGCTTGAACGCAGTCCCCCAAATAATTTTATTAGGCTTTGACCACAGCTTGCTTTTATCTTACTTCCTTTGGCTGTATACAGTACAAACTCTAAAACCATTTGCAACTCTTAATTTTTATGCCCAAAGTCTTTGTTTAAATTAGTGGCCTAAATTGTGTGGGTTGGTATGCACCAGTGAAAATGATGGGGACTTGACACATTAAAATTTTTTACTTCAGTAATAATAGTGATTTAATGGCATTTAAGCTGCTGTTGACAAGCAGATTAAACCTAAATCTAAGATTTTTTTTTTTATTCGCTTTGTTAACTGATTAACTACCAGATTGAAAAACCAGCTGTGGCCGAATTAAATCTAGGTCACATTTAATGTTATACAAACACTGGCGCTACCAGCGGTTCGTGGCCATAATGGAAGAAACGCAGAGCAGATAAATCAGATGTTTTGTTTAGTTCTGATGATGGTTAATAATGAAGGGTTTTTTGTGTGCCCGAAAATAAAACTCAGCAATGGTGTTCATAAAAGGCATTTGAACCTTCTACCACTTTAAATAATTACAGATTTATAGATAAATAGAAAATGAAATCCCATCTAGCATAACTTTATGTACAAAAAATATGCCATTAATGTTTTTGTGGCAAAAAAAGTCTTTAATTCTTCCCAATGATTTTGCATAAAGTGACCTTTGACGTATATTTTAAAGCTTAACTCTCTATTCAAGTTTATTATTAATTATACATTGACTAGTTAATTTTAGAAATAAAAAAAGTTGAAGGTCAATGAGATTTAAATGATGCAAGCTGAAGTCAACAACAAAAATTTTTTACACTATTCTGGTGCTAAGGTTAATGATTATTAGGTCCTTGCAGTGACTTCAAGCATCATCGACTCAACTCAGGTTCATTGGTAACAAATATTTTATAAAATTTACTGGAAACAAATGCATAATTTTAACTGATCAATGAATATCAGATAAGCCAAAGTTGTTGGATTTGGTGCTGGACAAATATCACCAATCTTAATAACAATAAAGTGAAGCAGTTGAATATTTAATTTTCAAAACAAGAAAGAAAAGAAAATTAAATCATGCAAACAAGAATGACATAAAATTCCCCCAACCTAGAAAAAAATAATTGAACCCATATTTCAAAAGGATTCATCATCATCATTGGCACTACAGCCCATGGAGGACTCTGGTCTGTTCCATCACTTCCTTCCATTCAAACCATCCCATGGCTTTTTATCTCCATGCATGGACTACAAGGTGATGTAAATCCATCTCTACCTCATCAATCCATTTCATTCTTGGTCGACTGGTGAGCCACCTAACCCTTGGTTTCTGTCTGTAAACCCCTTTCCCTGCCATATTTTGATAATTAAAAGGGTTGTAATACTACACGTACCTCCCCTGTATGACTGGAATGATGGACTACTGGCATCAATAGCTACAGAAACTGGACCAATGTTGCCAACAGCAATTTTCAAGGCATCTTCACTTTCTTGAGGTACAACATCTGCACAGCTACTAATTGTTGCAACCACTTTGGATTTATCAAAACGGCAAGTATCATCCTAAGAAAACAAAGTGCAAATCCATTTAAATACAAATGTTGTAAATTAGTCTGATTAATCAATTTAAAAACTAAATTGCAATAAGGTTTTAATTGTATTTTCAAAATAAGTCATGCCAAATTAATCTTCAAAGCTGGTAGTAAAAATAAATGTCCACTGCTAACCTGAGCCTCATAGGGGTAGCTAGCTTCAGATTCCAGACCACCTGCATCAATAATGTACTCAAAAGCATAGTCCATGAGACCACCATTGCATCCCTGGTCCCCAAAGCTGCTAGAGCAGTCCACGAGTTGTTGTTCAGAGAGGGCGACTAACTGACCTGATTTCTTGTACCATTGTCCCTCAACTGATCCAGTCTAAACAACAACATAGTAGTTGAAAAAGCATGTTTGAAAATTGAAGGTAAAAGACATTTTAATTTCATTATATTTATTGTCTATTTCTTAAAAGGAGTCTTTCAAAACATTAAATTATCTTAAACTGGACTTATACAAAGGGATTTCTATTTATGATATGATGACACTTACTGTGCTGAATGACCAACAGGATCCACATTGTTGCTGTTGAGAAAAAAAACACCATAAAACATAGGATGAATTGGTATTCAATTAATTTGAACAACTAATTGTCACTTAACATTAAATTAATTTAGCTGAATGAATTTGTTAAACACAAAGTGAAAATTAAAGTTTAATATTCTTAATTTTAAAATTTTTTAATGAATGTCATATCCTTTCACATGTCATATCCTTTCACATGTCATATCCTTTCACATGTCATATCCTTTCACATGTCATATCCTTTCACATGTCATATCCTTTCACATGTCATATCCTTTCACATGTCATATCCTTTCACATGTCATATCCTTTCACATGTCATATCCTTTCACATGTCATATCCTTTCACGAGGTAATGGATAAGGTTGTTTTTGTTTTTTTTAATATTTAAATTTAAAAATGAACAAGTTTATGTTATAATATTAGAATCATTACAAGATTAAAATGTCTTAATTGAAAAAAATATGTAACAGAACTAGTATATATTTTAGGAATTATTAATTACAGGTTTAAGAAATGGTGAGATATAGAGTTAAATTTGTTTGATAGAATTATTGGCACTTAATATCTAAGACATAATAAACATTACTTTAATCAATTTTAAAGGCAACAAAAAGGAACTAGTAAGGACCACATCCCAAACAGTTATTTTGCCATTTTGTGTTCAAAAACAATATTATTGGTCTTTATATTATCATGTTTGTTATTTAGGTCATTAGGTTCCCCTGTGATGAGTTTCCAATAATTAAACCTGCTATTGGTAGAATTCATAAATGAAAAAAATGAACACTTCAACCAATAATACATATTTAAAATTTCAGGTTTAAGTTTAAAAACAAAACTCTGTAGTGAATGAACAAGACCTTCAGAACAAAAATTGGTGAGCACATTTTTAAAAATTATTCCATGCAAATCTTTCATTGATACAAGTTGAAGATCCCTTTCCAGTTAAAAAAAAACTCTTTAAAACTCTAGCCCTAACTGCACATGTGGCAAGATTAAATCAAGCAATTGTACGTACAGTTTCAAGTTAATAGTCTACAAATATACAACAGGAAATAAATTTCCCCACAAATTAATTCCCCAAATACTAACTTGGTTTTTGATGGCTGTAACCAGACCTTTAGCTCTCCAGTCCTCACTGTCAGGTACAGTTTTAGTGGATGGGTGGTATTCATTACAATTTCTGTTTGGTCGGGTGCGGTTATAGTTGAATCCATGCAAGACACGGTATTCTTCATTTGTCTGCAAATTTATTTAATTTTTAAGGCAAATTTTGATATAAACTGGTGTAGAAATTAAAAGCCTAATTAATTTGATAAGCTAAACAGAAAGAGCTGCAAACTAGGTAAAGAACTGATGTTATTGCCATATTTTTATGATGAAGACACCCTTACATTGACCAAATCTAACACTTTATTGTTTATCATATTATGACCACTGATATATAGCATATATATAATATATATACCGTATTTATTGGCGTATAACACACCCCCGTATAACACGCACCTCAATTTAAGAAGGAAATTTCAGGAAAAAAAGCTAAACATTAAATTGGCGCATAACACGCACACATCATTTGCCCCCTATTTTCAGGGAGAAAAAAGTGTGTGCTATACGCCAATAAATACGGTATATATATTATATATGATGTATAATGAATGATTGAATCACTTTAAATTCAAGCAACATTCAAAAACTGAGAATAAGCATTAGCTTACTAAATCACTGAAATGATTGATATCAGAATAGAAAGAGCTCTTTCCATTATGAAACCTCCAGTTCTGGTACTCCATGAAGTTCACATTCTCCATGAAGATGCTGTATCTTTTTCGCTCCTCACTAACAGAATCATATTTTTTATCTGAAAACACCAATGAGGAAAATTTATGACTGGTATACATTTTAGCGAATAGACAAGATTTCATAGGACTTTGATAGTTCACACGCAAGTTTCTTGATGTGCATTCAAATTATTTTAATGTTTTAGTTTATCAAAAGATATAAAAAGCTTTATTCATCTTCTATTTTCTATTTCCTCTTTAAAATAGACTACAGTTAAGTATTCAATCTCATTGAACCAGTCCCATGGAATATCTGTACAATTGACATTTGCATTTTTCACAAACATTTAAGACCCACTACACATTTATAACACAAAACTTGATACTTTGTTTTTATTGATCCAAATCAGTCTATAAACGCAACCCGGTCTAATTAGGCATATCTCATTTAAAGCAAAGAAACCAAATATAAAAATTTAATAACGAGTTCTGATCATAAAAATTATTTAAATCTTAAATTGAAACACTCACTGAAATTGTTCTTGAAACTCTGCCATGTGTCTTCATAGTCAGCAAAGGAAAGCTTGTATACAGCCCCTGCAGGAGCTCCAACAAAATTTGAGGGCATATCTGAATTAGGAAACTCTGGCGCATTTACTTTAAGGCTGTCATCTCCTGTTTTATGAGCTGGCTCGATCTTGAAATACTTCATGAATGCTGGTCCTGCCAAAGCATAGCTCACAGAGAGCAAAAGTACTACTACTTTGAACATGATGCTGTGATGCTACAATATCTGTAGATTAAAAAAAAATAATAAGGTATTTCAAATTAAGAGACAAAAGAGGTTGTGAAATAGATAATGATTTGGGAAATATCAATATCAATAAAAAAAAAAAAAATTGACAGCTCTAACACTGAACACATATTCATATATAGTATAGGGCCCCTATCACTACTCACAGGTACTTGGAAGCACAACAGCAATTTTTATTCATTGTTCATGAATGGCAGTAATAATGACATTGATTGAAGTTTATTGAAGGAAGGTGAATAACTTAGACTTACAGGAATAAGACAACTGTACTCTGTACTGTATAAAAAATTGTACTCTGACTCTGATCCCCCCCTCTGAATTGGTGATTATTATTATTATATTACATTATATAAATATAATTTCATAGAAAACCCTCCCATGCCCATATTCATATTTTATGATTATGAATCATATGCTTCCCTATAAATAATAAAATATTTCTAAGTCTAAGACTAAGTCTAATTAATGTTAAAGTTAAAACAAATCATTGAACACTGTCACTGACTAAGGTGAGACTGATTAATGATAATGAGAATAATGACAAAGTCAATGTAACAATGCCTCACAATGAATTTGATATAATCTTTCAATGTCACTTTTTTTTAGTGTAGTGTAGTAGTGTTGTCTTACTTTCACTTTAAAGTTGGATGACGATGCGTCCGATACAGTCATGTCATGGTCGAGTCGATATTTCCCATAATTATTATAAAGTATAAACCTTACCGTATAAACCACAACTATGATTAATGACAATATAATGAAGAAGAGGTAACTTACGCTGTAATTTATTTCCTGTACAAGTCCGAAATTTTAATGATAGTAACCTTAACAAACCGATTGTCAACAGAAGAAAGAAAGACTATCTTCTTCTGTTGAAATCCTGTTTTATAGAGATAAACCTATTTCCACGACAGGTCACATGACTAGCAATGCGCGTCACATGACCACACACGACAAAGCCTGTCACGAGGAACTGGTCCACCGCAGCTGCCCCGTTTTTAAATGCGCGAATTAGTGGGGGGGGGGGAGGGGTGTATAAAAAAAGGGGTGGGGTGTCTGAGAAGGTTATAAACTACTTTGACGAATCTCAAAGATCTCAAACTCCAGGACGCGTCCCTTAATTACGCACTATGGAGTATCTTGCGGCCCACAAAGTGATTTCTGTATAAATATTTCATAGAATTCATAAGTCGAAACCGCCTGCATTATTTTAATTAACACGAATAATAAAAGTTTTTTTTAAAAAGACCACATTCACATTGAATTTGATGGGTAACCATGGTAAACAAAATAAACAGTTCTTCTAGAGCTGAAGCAGTGACGCGGTGTGGGTTGCCCATCGCGAGGTATTTCTTGGCGCCTGGGACAAGGCAAGTATTAAGCCAAGGGTAAGGCAAGTATTACGCCCAGGGCAAGGCAAGTATTACGCCCATGGTAAGGCCAGTATTACGCCCAGGACAAGGCAAGTATAACGCCAAGGGAAAGGCAAGTATAACGCCAAGGGAAAGGCAAGTATTACGCCCGGGCAAGGCAAGTATAACGCCCAGGGTAAGGCAAGTATTACACCCAGGGAAGGCAAGTGCAAGGAGCAAGGTAATTGCAAGAAGCTCACAAATGTATGCATGTACAGTACACACTTACTGAGACCCTTCCACAAGTGCACCATCGATCCCCTTACTGCCTAGGCATAGCTACTGGATTGCATTAAATGCACATGTATTTTACGCAATACAACCACTCGCAAGACTCTGGGAACCTCTGCCATGACCACGCGATATTTTCTTCTTATATTATTTATAAAATCTCCCAAGAGTCACCAGGAAGTTTATAACCCCCACCTAGACGCGTATGGATACATGGCCTTACCGGAACCGAAAGCGGTAAATCAAATGACTTCCCACTTATTGTTTCCGTTTGATCACACACACAAAAAGATGTTTCCGTCGAGATTCAATTTTCATCGGTTTCCCCCATTTGATACTTTAACCCTCCTGCTCTGATCCAATCATGTCCAATGTTTTGATCCTCCCTATACTAGGGTGACCTTCCTCAGTCATTCTTAGCAGTTGTAGGATTTGTTGTTGTTTTTTTAAAAAGGGCGGGGGGGGGGGGTAGGGTTTTCTTTAAAAATGAGGGCCTTGCGGGTTGGGAAAACACCTGATGTTTATATGTTTAATATATAGGCTAGTATTAACATGCATCAAACCCTATAAATTAAAGTAGGGCACGCGCTAGACTGCGCGGGGGGGGGGGGCAAGGGGCGGAGATTCAGGTCCAGGTCGGAAATTTTTTTTTTGTCTTCTATGTATTGCGGGGCGGCATTTTCGAATAACTGTTAACCTTCTTCGTGGGAGGTAGGGCGGCACAAAATCTTGGCTCGCCCCGGGCAGCATCAACCCTGGCTCCCCCACTGAGGCCATGTGACGTCATCGGTCGCATGGACTCGACTTTTGTATCGTTGCTATGATGCCGGAATCATATCTTTTGTTCCTCATTGTTACACTGCCAACGGCGTCTGCGGGTGATAATGTTTAAGAAAGCAGGGGCGTAGCCGCCCCCGTGCACGTGTGGCCAATACGATCCCATCAGCATATTAACACATGAGAAGCCTTTGGGTACCACTGATAAGAGTCGTGGCTGACTTTCCCACTAAGGCGCCGACCCATATGATAAAGCGGCACCGGTAATGAAGTGGGGGAATTTAGTTATTTATTTTTAGCCCGTGATCACGAGCATCATATAATCTCAACGTGTATCAACACTTAAAGGAAGCTATAATTATGACTAATGGACTACATGAGAACAAAAATAATAAAAAAATATACTGATAGATATTTTGCTTTGTTTTTTTAAAAATCTAATTATATATATATATATATATATATATATATATATATATATACACCACAAATGACAAAACATCAAAAAATAATAAATAGATAATAATTTACCGTGACTCTCCCCTCTGTTATATGAACATCATATAATCTCAACGTGTATCAACACTTAAAGGAAGCTATAATTATGACTAATGGACTACATGAGAAAAAAAATAATAAAAAAATATACTGATAGATATTTTGCTTTGTTTTTTTAAAAATCTAATTATATATATATATATATATATATATATATATATATATATCCACCCCAAATGGCAAAGCATCAAAAAATAATAAATAGATAATAATTTACCCTGGTTCTCCGCCCTGTTATATGAACACTGTTTATTGCAGGCGTCTCTCCGGTGAAAAATGTGTGCAAACAATAAAGCGAATATGTATTTAATTTTTAAAAACGATTACTTAATTGTATTTTTTTTCTAATAACTATTTGAATGAAATTATAGAAACAGTTTGAACAATGAAACTTCGCTACGACGATCCGAATTATTTAACGCAAGTCTGGATACCTTTACTGCACATGTGTCAAAATCAAGGCCCGCGGGACACATTGGCCCGCCGAACAAGTATATCAGGCCCCCGAGGTCTTGACCGGCGTACAATTATATCCAAGTCAACGCAATGGTGTTTCCCGATGCACACTTTGTTGAAAGACTTAGCTTACGTCGCGCCGAGTTCGCACGCGCGTTAGTGACTATGAATCACAGAAATGTAATTTCGAGCTGTTTCGCAACCCATTTGTCATAGACGTGGAAACTGCACCTGTAAATTTTGAGATGGAGCTAATAGAGCTGCGGTTTAATGAGACACTAAATGCAAAGTACGACACAGTTGGGCCTGCGCAGTTCACTCGTTTCATTCCTGAAGAGATGCCCCAGCTTCGTCTACATGCGGCTCGAAGGTATATATATACAGTTGTGCTATATCTGATTATATATTTTCAAGGGTTATAACTTAGCCGGGACCTAAAACATACCCTCAGCTACAATTACCGTTAATTTAGTTGATGTTGGGCGAAGGTGGTGGAGTTATACGTGATCCTGGACGCCCAGTGGCGTAGCTACGGAAAGTGCCACCCTGGGCTGGCCGAGGGATTTGCCGCCGACTTCTTAGTTAAAAACTCTGCAGCTGAAGATGCCGCCCCTCCATAAAAAAAAAAAAATTAAAAGCCCGCGGGGGGGGGGGGGGGGCGATCCAACCATCTGCCCACCCTTCCTACGTCCTTTTCACTGCCCACCATAACATCAGACACGCCCCGCCCCCTATGCAAATTGTTTGAAACACGCCCATATGATATGATATAATTATTGAAAATGTGTAGCTTTTGTTTTATGATAAGATAATTGCGTTTTAACTCGTACACTGGTGTCACTTTGACCCTTGACGTGCACCAAATGAATCCGTTCAAGTAGACCATCAGTCCAAGTCGTGGTGGTTCTGTTTTCGACAGTGGGGGGAGGGGGACGGGACCTCTCCTTCAATGCGTCAGTGCGTCTTGGGACTCTCAATGGCCTAGTGCAGGCCTGCACAACATAAAACATACGGCCCGCGGGCCGCATGTGGCCCGCCAGCACCCACTTTGCGGCCCGCGAAGTAACGAAATATTCCTTATTCTTATTATTTTCTTAATACCTGCCCCTCCTGTCCTATTTTCTTTTGGCCCGCACAAGTCCTATCCTATTTTCTTTTGGCCCGCACAAGTTTTCCTAATGTATAACGGCCCGCCTTACATTTTGAGTTGTGCAGGCCTGGCCTAATGGTATAGGACAATAGGAAGAGTGTGACGGTCAGACCAGGACGGCAATGTCGGTCCATTGCATATATTTTACCGTATATCATGGTGTTTTTGTGGGTTGGTTTTTTTGTGTGGTGGTTTTCGCGAGCTAAGGGCGACAAAGTCCCGCCCCGGGCCGTCACACACTCAGCTACTCCCCTACCAGCGTGTACATGAGTATGAACCTAACAGAGTCACTGCAACTATTGGACATGCAGAACTTTATACGCCAATGACACAACCGTGTTATACCGGTACCTCCACGGGGGTGGACTTGGCGGTGTCGCCGTCATAACATGTTCATTTCGGTAAAAGGGCCATAATGGCACACGGTTGTTTTCCCCATTGTGGCGTGTAATCAGCCGAGCACAGACGTCTGGCCCGCGGCCAGGAGGACGTCAACATCAGCCCTGTGATTGACGACCCGTGACGCGAGAGCACTCTTGCACACGACACAGCCGACCCCGTGTTTGTGAAACTATTTACCTTGGTTTATGTGTAAACCAAGTACGTTGGGTAAACCAAGTACTTTGGTCTGTGAGTAAACCAAAGAGATATTTACCTTCAATTGTTCAGGTGTTTTTATTGTTGCATTGTTCTTTTTTGTGGAAGGTAGCGCTCAGATAAGTAGTTTATTATATTATTTTTGTTCCATTACAATATGGGTGGGGCTGGAGGTAAGAGAGTTTGACAAAAAAATTGAATTTGCAAATCGACTTATTTTACTCATCGAAAGACGCTCATGTCACAGGTGGTGGGGGGTGAAAGGGTGACAAATTCCAAATGCATGTAAGGCATTTAACCTCCACCCCCCTCCCAAGCAGTTGCGTAGGAACGGAGGAAGATTGAGTAGATACCCCCGGGCGGAATCTTTAGCCAATCGCCGAGGTGTTTTCGTGGAAGAGGGGTAGCAATAATTCCTGCGTTGGAAGGGAGAAAAGAGGGAGGGGGGTGACTCTATAACGAGATGTGGTATTTTCGGTAAAAGCAGCTTTTTCGTGGCAAAAATTTTGGCCCGCCCCGGGCAGCACTAGCCCTAGCTACGCCACTGCCCCCAAGGCCAGGGCTCTAAAAGAGAAATAAGCTCGAATTATATGACACTTATTGCTTTTAAATTTAACCCGCGGAACGGCCTATGCACCAGCACACTTGTAGCAATTAGGACGGGCAGGTTGCGCTCATTGGGGACATTGGCGACACCTACGCCAAGGTAACTGGATAGGTCTTACGCCCCTCAGTGTCACGCGACAACAATGCAGGGCTGATGACCGAACAGCTGTTGTGCATGTAACTGACCCATTTCAGTGATGACAACACACGTGACCGACCTCAGCAGTGCACAGACGATGACAAACACGCGCCTGATAGGTTGTTGGGGAAAGTCGAGTTAGAATTTACTTTCAATAGATAAGATTTATTAAAAACAACAACCCCAACAATTATCGTTACCGGAAAATTGATCGAAAGAAATTTCGTCGACGGCAAATTAATCGACGGATATTTGATCGAACAGAAATTTGGTCGAATCTTTGTTTCTGTACACACGTTAAAATATTCGTTAAATTTCTTTTTGAACGTACTATACTGTATAGTAAAACAATGTAATGCGTTCAAAAATAAATTTGAAGCAAAATCTTAACGTACAAATTGCACGGGGGGCCTCCAAACGGCTCTGCATACACATTAAGTTCAAGGGACATAATACACTCGTTCTGCTTTATTAACTAATTGTGTCCATAAAATTTAGATGGCTAAGCATCATTTTCTTAGCCAGATAAATTAAACTTTCCAAAGATTCCCAACCTGCTCTGTTAAAACAGCTGCCCCACCCCTTCTCTAGACTTGGGAAAAGAATGCACTTGAGCATGGAAACGTCTGGACGGAAAATGACGAGCTGCCATTTTTTTACCCGAGACTAGAACTTAGTATTAAGCAATGACACCGGCAATCTTACGAAGAGCATGTCTCTCAGAATATAACCCTAGTGTGTGACCTCTGTGTCCTCTTTTTCGCAGACAGTTAAAAACATGGTTTTAAAATGTGTCATTTTAATAATAAATGGCTCAATATATGCTTTTATATTGCATTCAATCGATCCCGCAGGGTTAGAGAAAATGCACGGCAATCTATTGAACTATTCAAAATTAAAAAAGTAAAAGCATCGTTGGGTGGGTGACGTGTCCTCTTGGAAATGTCCCCCCCCCCCCGGTTCCATTAAAGTATACCTTCCTTGTTTCTCTAGTCTTTGGCATAGTAGAGCCACACATGAAAATATGTCAAGAGCAGATTTGCCTCCGAGAAGAATATTGTAGTAAAGGGAAATATGATGGTCGTAGAGAAAATTGTAATCAATGAAGCTTTATTTAGTAACAAGAGATAAATCATACCAATGCAAATATATTATATGTAGCTCTATGCCTGCCTGATACAGCAGTTTGTAAAGGAAAAAGCTAGTGGTCTGGAGTTCAATCCCCACCAAAGCCACCATCAAAAGCACCCCGGGTGGATGGGACTTGTCAGCCTTGGACGGCAACTCTGAAATTCACCTCAGGATCCAAAATGATCAATAAATTGATCGTCGGCCCTCAAATATGAAGGAAAAGAAAACAAATAAACTTTCAACGCACATCGAACATGGATTGGTCCCAGAGAAACTGACAGTTGGAATTTCGATGGTCCACGGATCAGGAAAAGCATAAATGGCCCACAGATCAGGAAAAGCATAAATGGCCCACGGATCAGGAAAAGCATAAATGGCCCACATTTCCAAACATCAATTAGTGAAATTTAATCATGGACCTAGGGTCTTCATTTATTTTTTTTGGTGAAAACTTTAATGCAATCACTTAGAGAACACTGAGGTAAAAAGTGAAGTCAAAGGTTTCACTATGACAAGTACATGCAAAAGCGGCCAGAATACCATGGAAATTAAAATGGGCATTTTATGGAGATTTTTTGTTGGAGCTGTCCTGGAAGAGCATATCTAAGAAGTCTTGGAAAACGAGCTTAATTTTTGTAGAATTCAAACTTTCCAGCAAGTTTGTGCTTCTGGTCTAAAATGAGTACATCTTAATGTAACGCACTTTTCTTTTAATAATTATAACTAGGTCAGTTGTTTTTTTTTACACTGGGTCCAGGTATTTTGAGAAAATACCCGGTGGGTCCAAGTGTTACAAAAAAAGAGTTAACTTCTCATTTTCCATAATATACAACGAAATGTACTGCCTTATGTTATAGTGAGAGTGCATAGCCCTCGTCAACCATTTGCGTCAAGAAATAACACGCTGTTGGGAACAAGCAGTTGCCGGATCCCGGAAAAAAAATAACGTTGTACGCATGAAGCTCCCTTTGTGACAGAGGAATAGGAACAATAAAAACACTGAATAACAGTGGCCTCCCCCTACAGAAAAAAATTCAATCTTTTTACCCGAGTTCAACCGTCACGCAATGACATCGTGGCGTGAGTTTTTTATTTTTCACTCAGTAACATCAGAAGCAAAATATATATAAGAGAAGAGATTATGCTTCATGCTTAAAAGTGACATATCTTCAAAAACTAGAGCTGGTGGGGGAAACTGGTGCAATTTTTTGGAATCAAGGGGTCAAATATACCTATACAAACATGACAAACTGGTCAAATATACCTAACTACAAACACGTCAAACTGGTCAAATATACCTATACAAACACGTCAAACTGGTCAAATATACCTATACAAACACGTCAAACTGGTCAAATATACCTATACAAACACGTCAAACTGGTCAAATATACCTATACAAACACGTCAAACTGGTCAAATATACCTATACAAACACGTCAAACTGGTCAAATATACCTATACAAACACGTCAAACTGGTCAAATATACCTATACAAACACGCCAAACTGGTCAAATATACCTATACAAACACGCCAAACTGGTCAAATATACCTATACAAACACATCAAACTTTTAGGGAGCGTATTTTGTAATAACCAGTGAATTATTTACGGCCATCAGTCTATGTACTGTTTTTTGAGGGACAAATTGAATCAGTGTCAGTTAAACCTCTACTCGACAGTTAAATGAAATGTTAACAAAGTTTTACTCAAGATGACTCAGAGCTGAACCGTTCTTGATTCCTGTGCATTCAGAATTATTTTTTCAGGCCACTTTATTTGGGGGTAACTAAGAAAAAAACCAGGAAAGGTCCCGGAGCAGGCTGACATTAAAAACTTTAAAGGGATCATAAATAAGGGTCGGACTGCATGTATACAAGTTTATAAATACACTTAACGCTGTCATTTTTCTCACTGTCAATGAGTCAATAGTGTTAAGAATATAATTTGTTTCAAGCAAAGCATAATAAATGTTCATCTTAGGCGATAAGTAAGGTGACAGATTTTCCCTCCCTTTTCCATTTATAAAATTGAGTTTGATATATATTAAACATAAATTTTTCTCTATCAAATTTCTCCCAGAATTAAGAAACAATACTTATGGTGATTAAAAAAAATACAATGTAAACTATCCAGAATTTGAAGTCCCAAGGGCACATGCCCGAATGACCACTGGATCTGAACGAGCATTATACAGAATGTTGATGGCACATTGGCCAGGGAAGAGATCATAAGGACTATTATTTTTTTGTATTCAGATCATTATAAAAGCATTTTTTAAATAAAAAAGTGACTAATAATAACTCTTACTTTTAGATCAAAGCATAAGTAGTTTTTTTAAATACCCATATAAATATGTTTGTATATTTTATAAATATAAACAGTATGCCAGCAATTATGCAACCCCAGACTGCAAATAATAACACTTTTGATAATAGAGTTTCTAATCTATCCAAATTTTGGCTTGGTAGATTTATACATTGACTATGAAATCCAGAATGCAACTGCCTAGTTAATAAAAATAGGTTAGAACAATATTCATCACATAGCTTTATAATGATAAAAAATTTTAAGGTATTAGTAATTAACACTTAACATCATTATGTAAAGCTATCCATAGTCCCACTTCAATAATGAAGCCCTATTTCACAAATTAGCTCTCGAAGCCACGTTTTAACAAGTTTGATTTAAAATAAAAGAACAAAAAATGTACTAGGACTAGAACTAAGCTGCATTATGTATTAATATTATTATAAGAGTCTTACTCTTGTGTGTATATAAACTACAAGCATACATACCAACCTGTAGGGTTGACCCTTACTTTGTACAGTTTTTATACGCTATTGTCGAAGTGTACGGCCATGAGGCTCTGTACAATTTATTTTACTGGATTTAGAAAAGAGGTATTTTTGCATGTTCAAAACACAAGGTTATAAGCTGAAGGTAAAATCAACAACTTTGTCAAGACGGACAAACTTTATTTTACTTTGATAACTTAAATATAGGAATCTGTATTACTACAGCTAGTATATTTAACAAAAGAATTATGACTAATTATATCTAAAAGCTATCTAATTCATCATCTGTCTATTTTTAATAAAATTGCTATTGACCATTGTATAAAAAACCTCAAAATTTGACAAAATTCAGACTTATAACAAGCTATTTTCATTAAAAAGATGTGATATATCAATTTTAGAATGATACTCATGTGCTTGAATGTGAGTGCAGCAAGGGGAGACTATCAATTTTTTATTCATGCATTCAAAGCAATGATAAAAAAGTTATAAATTTTACTTATTTCAATTTATTTCAACTTTAATTTTTTCTATACAGTTTTTCATGCTGTTGCAGTTTGTTGGGAATTTTTGTAGTAAAGTTTTTTGATACCACAGGTTGGCAAGTCTGACTACAAGTCTAATTTTATTCAACATATTTTTCTTACAGCTTTCTTAAATTGGCAGCAGCCAAAAAGTTTGAGGAAATGGTGCCAGCCATAGCAGATTTTAAATATTTTTCAACAGGAGGACAAAAAGCATTGATGGAATGAGTGAGAACCTTTATTTTTATAAGGAGTAATTTTTATATAAATAGCTGCATTAAAATCACTACTTTATTTGCATGTTTTCGGAACATGAACCTGGAACCTGGATAGGTGAGAGGAGGTTTCAGGCTGCTTTAGCTGGGTCCAGTGGTTAAGCTTGGGTTAATGCTTGGCAGAAAATGCCGCCCTTCCATATAAAGAAAAAGGTGCCCACTCGAGGCGACCGACTCTCCGCCTCACCTTCATAAGCCACTAGCTGGAACTCATAATAACATTTTTATTAGGACGCAAATAATCAATCCATTTTTTAAAAAGAAGTACTACATTCAAATTAGTTTCAGACAAATTGGTTTAGAACTAATTTCTGCATACAATGGTAAGGCTAAGGTCTGTGTCAGATTTGATTCAGTAAGAACTGAATCATGCCCTTCAAGTGAACATCAAGCCTGTAGCCTTTATTGAGTTTTATATGAATATGATAGTAAAATAATATGTCAATACAGTCGCAACCCTAAGCGATTTAGCATCAGTAAGTAAGATTGAAATAGATTTAGCTTAATGAAATAATATTCAGATGAATCATGTCATGACTGATGTCAGATAATAATGATAATAAAGTACATTATTAAAGGAAAATAAAATTGAAGAATTACTTGAAGGTAGAACCAGATGGGCCAGACATAACAGTAATTTTGTATTAGTAATAGCAATGTACGGTGAAAAAGATTTTTCTGGGGCAACCTGGGACAAGGGGGTAGGGTGGTTTGGGGGGGAAGAGCCCCCCCCTTAACGAAAATAGTTAATTAAAATTGACCGAAGGATATTATGCTTTCCTGAAGAGAAAAGAAAAAATTCATTACTGTGCATTATATAGTATAATGTTTGTTATATGGACATACGGAAACCTTACATTGTATTAATCAGGAATGGCATGTGAATATAGGTGAAAAATAAAGTATAAAAGTACCAGAAATGTTTTGTATTGTCACTAATGTAATTTATTAATACTTCTGAAGTCTGAACATGTAACTTTCTCAATGTTCATAGAAGGAAAAACATCTTAATGGTGAGTAAACTAACTACAGTACTAACAATTGACATGTCCAAGTTGTAAAAAAAAGAAAGAAAAGAACAGAAATTGGCAACAAGTGAATTGTAAAAATTAATTTCATAATCATAGCACTATTACGAGGGGGGTGGGCTGGTTTGCAATAAAATTACAAGACCAAGTTGTGTAGGAAATCCACTCGACTGCTTATTTAAGTTAACACAAATAAATATACAGGATATAGTCCTGCGATTTATTTCTTAGGCTTAGGGATGAGAAAAGGTCTTAGGCAGTTAAGTATTAACAACGCAATCCTCTAAAAGATAATATTCTGGTTGGTTTAGTTTATCCAGACCGCCATGGCGAATCACGGTTATTCTTATTTGATTGCCTAGGCCGTAGGCTACGGTGTTAACACAAAAATGCGGTAACGTTTTACTGAAAACAACCCATTTTTTTTTTTAATTAAACCAAACAAACGAAAAATCTCCCAAAACTGAACCGTAGTTTTCAAGGCTGTCGTAGTGCCATGCACTCTTAGGCTTTAAATCTAGTTACCACGGCGAAAGCGTAGGGGTTAGCAGGTCTGCGTAAGTCAATTCAATCATTGACTACTAATCCCCGCATGCCCTAACTTACTAAACTTAAAGATTTTTACGTATAGTATAATATTTTTTTTTAAGTCCCCTAAGTGGCATTAGTCTTACTCTTAACTCTTAGTAGTTTTAGTCATTAGTTAAGTCAAAGTAAGCTAAGTTAGAGGCCTGAAGTAGGCTACTAATAAAGTAAGTGTAAGTGCTAAAGTCTAAAGTTATAAATTATAAATAATATAAATTATAAAGTAAAGTCAGTCTAACTAAAGGCTAAGGCTAAAGGCTAAAGTTTGGAAGACCGAATAAAATTCAGCATGTAATGTAAAATTTACATAAATGATAAGTGAATTAAGTTTAAGCACATCGAGGTGATACTTTTGAACTCACCTAATATTTGCACTATCGGTTTAAAGATGATTAATAATTGGAACTGGGATAATTAATAATCTTTGACAAACGATGGTAGTACATGTAAACAAAATTGCAAGCCTTTTGTCATGTGACCTATGCTTTGGTCACATGCTATGTTACGTCATTTGAAAATGTCGACCTCACTTCCACGAACATTTCCGAACAAAAGGAAGGCACTCAGGTACTAATTGGGCCTGAAATTCCATCTTCATAGCTTCCCTTATTTGTCTAATGTTTGAGCTTAAAGTCTTTTATAGCGTGTAAACGAATTTCTTTTAAGTCAGTGAACTTTTAAGATCAATGGCAATAATCCAAAATATAAAAACTAGTAGGCGAAGTAATGTAAAATAAATAACGACACATATTTTTCTTTGTTTTTTTATTTTTATTTTTTTTTTAAAAACTATTGACTTTAAATAATTTTAAAAGAACCTGTTTGCAGAAAATGAGAAGGAAAACGAACTTATTCATTTATCTCTGTTTTGTACAAGCAACTAACAAACATGCTTTCAAGCTACTAATAAAAGCAAGACTTGAACAAACTGTTGTTGTTTTTTCACTTTCTGATTTAAAGATAGGCTACATACGTAACCTTTTTTTTAAATACAATTTTGAATAAAATACAAACGCAAACTGCATTAAGATGTTAACGATTAAATAAACCTTGAAAATAATATCGACCATTTTCAGGTCGTAGATTCACCTTAACATAAAAAAAGTTTGGGGGAAAAAAAAAAGGGGGGGGGGGGTAGAGACAAAACAGTTGAACCCATTAAATCTTTGTTTTGTATGATTATTTTTTTTAAACTTACCTTTTGAGGCGATCGACAATATTCAGGTATCACAGCAAGAGTTCTCTTCAAATTGAAACTGAAACCAATAGAGACTATGGCCAAATGGCAGCAACCTTCAGAAACCAACGAAAATAGGTCGTTATTTTAATTGAAAATTTTTTAATGACCAATAGGAAAAAAATTGTGTTTTTTTTTTTATCATCTCTGTATGTTGATGTTTTTAAAAATACTTCTAAAGTTGACTTTAAAAAAAAATGTTTTCTACATGAATCAAATGAACTCTTCCTAAAATTTAATATGTAGGCTAAAGGTTAATGGTCTAATTCAAAAGGATATTAATTGAATATGAATAATACAGCACTTCACTTCTAACTCGGGTAATAGGATTTTGAAATATTTTTTTATTTTTTTTATTTTTTAAGCAGCATCAAAATCTTCATTCATTTATAAAAGAGGTGACCAACTCGCGTGACGCATACGACCCGGCACACCAGGAGTATCACAAATACACTTCTACCTTTATTCAATTTGGTATCACAAATACACTTCTATCTTTATTCAATTTGGTATCACAAATACACTTCTATCTTTATTCAATTTGGTATCACAAATACACTTCTATCTTTATTCAATTTGGTATCACAAATACACTTCTATATTTATTCAATTTGGTATCACAAATACACTTCTATCTTTATTCAATTTGGTATCACAAATACACTTCTATCTTTATTCAATTTGGTATCACAAATACACTTCTATCTTTATTCAATTTGGTATCACAAATACACTTCTATATTTATTCAATTTGGTATCACAAATACACTTCTATCTTTATTCAATTTGGTATCACAAATACACTTCTATATTTATTCAATTTGGTATCACAAATACACTTCTATCTTTATTCAATTTGGTATCACAAATACACTTCTATCTTTATTCAATTTGGTATCACAAATACACTTCTATCTTTATTCAATTTGGTATCACAAATACACTTCTATATTTATTCAATTTGGTATCACAAATACACTTCTATCTTTATTCATAAACCATAGTGTTTATGTGAAGATAATTTATTCAATTTGGTATCACAAATACACTTCTATCTTTATTCAATTTGGTATCACAAATACACTTCTATATTTATTCAATTTGGTATCACAAATACACTTTTATCTTTATTCAATTTGGTATCACAAATACACTTCTATCTTTATTCAATTTGGTATCACAAATACACTTCTATCTTTATACAATTCGCTCTCAATTTCATTCTTGGCATAAATGCACATTTGAAATTATTGAAAATTAAAGTGCCGATAAACTACCAACAAGTCTGGTTCTATCTTTTGAACAACGTTCACTAACAGAATCACTTAAGTTACGCTTTCTGGACATTTTGTCGTCCTTGCTTACCCTCTCACGTTCAATTTTACAAGGAATATATCTAGAGCAGTGGTTCTCAACCCTCCTAATGTCGCGACCCTTTAACACAGTTCCTCATGTTGTGGCGACCCCCAGCCACAAAATTATTTCATCGCTACTTCATAACTATAGAGGCATGGGCGCCCGCAGGTAGGGGCAAGGGGGGCACTTGCCCCCCCCCCCTGGATTGATTGAATAAAATTTTTTTAGACAAACATAGAAAAAAAAATATTAAAGTAAAGAGAAAATAAAGAGAAAGTAACTAAGCTGATGTCCTGTCCGTTCGTTCACCATAAAAATACGCTACAGTAAATTAAAACTATATTAAAACATTACTAACAATTTTTTGCCCCCCCCCCCTTGGAAAGTCAATCGATTTTTTGNATTAAAGTAAAGAGAAAATAAAGAGAAAGTAACTAAGCTGATGTCCTGTCCGTTCGTTCACCATAAAAATACGCTACAGTAAATTAAAACTATATTAAAACATTACTAACAATTTTTTGCCCCCCCCCCCTTGGAAAGTCAATCGATTTTTTGCCCCCCCCCCAGAAAGTTTTCTGCGGGCGCCCATGTGTAGACCATATGTGTTTTCAGATGGTCTTAGGCGACCCCTGGGAAAGGGTCTTACGACCCCAAAGGGTTTTGCATTTCCTTTAAAACGTTATGAAAAAGTGGCATTGCAGTGTCTGCCAATAAGTTAGCTGCTCACCATGCCAAAGCCTTATCTGGCTGATGTGTTTCTACAAAAATTATGCAGCGTTCCCACCACCCCCCCCCCACACACACACATTTTTAACATCTCCATAATTGCACTCGATTCAAGTGGTTTGTCCTACTGTTCCATCTTCTCTTCAAGATGAAATCTCTTGCGTGAGCTCTTGCTGCTGCACCCTAGGCAATCCCACAAGGTCCTCGGTAGTCAGCTGCTCACTATGTTCGTCTAGAATCTAGTCGACATCGTTCTTATCCACCTCCAATCCCATTGTCTTTCCCAAAGACATAATTTCATCTTCAAATGCTTCCTGAACGAGTTCAAATCCCCCAAAATCGCGCTCATAACTCATAAACTCATTCAGGCCACAGTGTCCTCCATGCAGAATTGAAGGATCTCGTGCTGACCCCTTCCCTGGCTTATCGATGATTTTGAGGCAGTTAATAATGTGGAAATGGTCTTTCCAAAACTCTTGTAGGGTGAGGTTGGTTCATTCGCTGACCTCAAAGTATAGCTGTAACATCGCCTTAGCAGGGGGCGTCATTTCATGGATTTTTCAAAGTGGGTTTGGGGGGGGGGGACCAAGGGGGGGGGGCAAAACTTGGTCGGCTTGTTAAGTTGTTTATTACTGGAGGCGCCACAGATTTTAGCAATTTAAATAAAACCTGCAAATTCAAGGGGTTGGTTCAAATTCCCTACCCTGCCCTATCCAAATGATATCCTTGCGCCTTTAAATCTTAGCCGACCACAGCCGCAATTTAGAGATCATGAGTTATAGTCTCGTTCCTACTTGTCCACGAAAAATGTCATACGGCGCGTCACTTTTTCCCACTTTTTGATACATCATTCGCAGACCAATACAATTAATGCTGTGATCTCGATTTGCTCGAATCCTGTGTTACTCTTAACCCGAGGTTCTAATGTACAAATAATGTATCTGAACCATCTCTCAAGTCAAATCTATTCAATTTATTCGCGTGTGTTGTGGCACGCGCGCAGAAGTTAATGATCTGAGGGTAATTTGCATTAAAGATAGATCAATATTTTAGACAGTTGTTTAATTAGCATTTGACGTTATTTAATGGGCGTGTCGTGGACATGCGGCTCGCGAAAGGTTGATTAACGTCGAAATGGCCCGTGAAACCATTGAGTTGGCCACCCCCCCTGCATGTGGTTTATAGCTTTTAGCAGTGCCGTGCCAAATAGTTCTTTTAAAGAGGACCCCTAAAAACAAATAAGGTATTTTTAAGGAAAGTTGTGTACATATTTTTCATCAAATCCCAGTTTGAGGGACCATGTGAACATATCATGCATGCATCCTTTTCAGAGGCAACGTGAGAGATTTATGTTGTGTTCATCGTCTAGGCTGAGCTGAGATCATGAAGTTCGATGACGTGTTCCCATATCTGGGGGACTTTGGTCCCTACCAGAGACAGCAGTATTTCATGTTGGGGATGGTCCTTTTCTCGTGCGGTGCCCATGTCATGATGACCGTCTTCACCCTGGCAGTTCCAGCCCACAGGTAGGGATGAGATCTCAAGAAGAAACGTTTTGACCTGCATCTGCTTTGCTCATAGATTAGAGGGCTAGAAAAAACAAAATGATCGATTTTAATAAAGGTTTAAATTGAGTTATTTTTAACTTTCCGTTTCACTTGGTCTTATTTACCCCAGTACTGTGCTAGAAATCGAATCCGGAAATTTGTAGGAAACCAATTTATAAGAAACCAATTTATAAGAAACCAGTTTATAAGAAACCAGTCTATAAGAAACCAGTTTTTAAGAAACCAATTTATAAGAAACCAATTTATAAGAAACCAGTTTACAAAAAACCAATTTATAAGAAACCAGTTTATAAGAAACCAGTTTATAAGAAACCAGTCTATACGAAACCAGTTTTTAAGAAACCAATTTATAAGAAACCAATTTATAAGAAACCAGTTTACAAGAAACCAATTTATAAGAAACCAGTTTATAAGAAACCAGTTTATAAGAAACCAGTTTATAAGAAACCAGTCTATAAGAAACCAGTTTTTAAGAAACTAATTTATAAGAAACCAATTTATAAGAAACCAGTTTACAAGAAACCAATTTATAAGAAACCAGTTTATAAGAAACCAGTTTATAAGAAACCAGTCTATAAGAAACCAGTTTTTAAGAAACCAATT